TAGCCCCCAGCGCACACCCCTGCCCTGCGCAAACGCGTTCAGCGCGCTTAATGAACGCGCGTTCAACGCGTTCAAAACATGAACGTGAAACGCGCGTTACATGAACGTGTGGCAACACAGACTATGCGAAATTCAAAGTCACTGCCCCGCCATGATAAAGCTCGCGATTTCGTACAAAAAGTGAGTCAAAATATCTCGAATAGTTGTGAATTTATTTCCAAGATATGGTCGGAGAACAGAGGAGATCGTGAACACGTTGCTTACAGTCTAACAGTTGAGGCGCTTCAACGAGGTTACAATTAAGCTTCTTCAGATAAGATAATTTTATTTGTCGACCGATCAGAAATCATGTACTTTGATTAACGAAGTTGTGCATTTACGCCCGTCGCCTATGCAACTTGATTTTAAAATGGGGAACAACTCAACAGTGATGACTCAGAAGAAGGAAGCGTCGATGGTACTTTGGAAGCGTTTTTGTAAGGTGAAAGGCGAAAGGAAAGCAACCCATCTTCTTAAAAGATAGTTATGGCATGGACGTCATCCGGGGCTCCTTCAATTGGAACTTTGGGTGTCGTGCTTGCCAGTGTAATGGCATATTCGATACCTTCCCCGCTCACAATGACGACACCTCCTGACATTACAAACACTTTAGCAACAAGAGTGGCTTCATCTGAAGGATTGATGTCTGATCAAGCGTTGACCTTGAGAACTTTGTTCCATGATCAAGGCTCCCCGGAGTTATTGACGAATTTGACAGCATTTGCACAAAGCCCTGTGCTTATGGAATCTTTTTTTTGTTCTCAGACCGCACAAGAGTCTCAACCTTCAGAGGCTTTGGACTCTCGAGTATGAGATTGGGGATAAAATCCCTGCGGACATCGCCAAATTGTGAGGTTCTCTTGTTTGTTGAGATGACCATATGACGACGGATGATGATAAGTGGGGCCACGACATCATGTGACATCCACGAAAGGTGATAACTGTCAAACGAAATGGGCAGTGGTCATTTTGTTCTCAAACATGTATGTCATAGTCAAAATTGTATAGACATGCAGAGAACCAGATCAAGGTGCGGCTTGTTTGATTGAATCCTGTTGTTTCTCGATTTGGATTGAAAACATTTTTATTTTTTTTTTAAGGAACTCACAGGGTTGCGGGTTACTTGCGGCATCTCGAGTACTTAAAAGGGTTCTATGATGAAGAAACAAGCCCAGCATATGAATACAACTGACATATCGAAGAGGGCAGCGAGGTTGGAAGGGGAAAAGGACAAGGGTCCAACAGTGGTGCAAATGGAGAGGGATCTCAACCCCCAAGTGGTGGTGAGTGAGGATATGATAAGAAAGGGAGTGGTGGAGATGGAGGTACGTCGCAAGTGCCTATTTTCAATCAGCCAACAAGGGATACGAGAGAAGGGCAACAACATCGACAACACAAATGAAGTGATAGTCTTCCTTTGCAAGCGCTTTGCAGCGCTCGCACTAACAGCACCTCACACCGCTCAAACTACTAGCCGTGTTCTTCATAATGAAGTTTCTTCATCAAAATCTCCACGAAAGATACGCGTGGCCAAACTTACGACATCTTTTGAGATATCGCTTGATGGGGTTCCCATTCAACAAAATGATTGTAGTTGGGGTGTGTTTATGTTAGGTTTTGTATCTTTGTTAGCAAAACGTCACTTTCGCCCATTCAAATTCTCTCAAGGCAACATTCCACATGTGAGGCATAGAATCGCATTCGACATTTTGTCGATGGTCGAGCATGAGTAAACATTCCAGAAACGCAGCTTAAGGTAGCATTCAACACTTTGTTGCTGGTTAAGAATAGTTTCAATGGTTGACATATGCGATTTGTTTTCCGCAAGTTTTAAAGGTTATTGTATAATGATGTATTTCTCAAAGTTTTCATGTCTAAGCTTTAAATATTTCGCCTTGTTTCATCGCATTTTCCCTTTTTTCCGCCGCTCTGAAGCTGTGTGTCTGATTTTCGATTCAATGAAGGTTTCCCGTTGAAAGGTTCAACGGTCGTTGAACCCCCGTTACAACGTCGTGCTATACCGCGTTAGAACGCGGTACAACGCAGCCCTCGACATTTTTTTTCGCAGGCAAAAAAAATAAAAAATAAAAAAAATGGGGGTGTAGATTGATTTGCGCTCTACATCCCCATATTTTTATTTTTATTTTCTGAGCATTTAATTACTTAAAAAAAATAAAAAACTCAACCAGACTCAAAACAGATCGATTTTTTGTATATTTTTCTTGATTGATTAATTGATTGACTGATTGATTGATTGATTGATTGGTGGGGGATGGGTC